TATAGCAAAGGGAAAGTGTCGCGGGTCAGCCCGGAACAAACCGGGTACTGAGCCGTCTTTTTGGGTCGTTGGGTGAGAGCCACGGTGTGTCGGAGAGTGAAGCTGAGGCTTTGATGCCGAGATGTGCACGTGAGCAAAGATCGAAATGGGGATCTCGTGAAGAACACGTCAAGAACATGCATGAGCCCTAGTCTTCGATCCATCTTCACTTGTATGCACTTAAACCGTCTTGTTCTTGATTCTGGGGTTGTGACAAGGGACCTCACCATATAATGTCGCGGGGCTTGGTAGTCGAGGGGTTCAGGAGAACAGAGCCCGGCATGCAACGTCGAGGCCATTATACCGAGGTGCATGTTTCGACACTTAGTCGTTTCCAGCTTCATTTCTTACGTGTGCATGCCTTGATCTCAACATGCCGAGGGATCAGTACGAGGTCTAGCCTGAAATACTCTCAAGAGATGAGCCTTGGCTTGAGCAGTGTCGAGGTAACGATGTCGAGGCCTGAGAAAATACTTAGCACATATCGCAACTCATTTGGGCTCATATCGACCAACTTGCCTTCCGGAAGCAGTAACTTTCAGCACACGACTCCAATTGCTTTGAGACCAGTTCCATAGTCAAGATGACTCATTAAGCTCGAACTTTTGTGAAGAAACCATCGGAGCTTGGGTAGTGGAAGGCTTTCTGGATTGCTCATCTTTGTACCGCATTGGAATGACCGGAAAATACAGCTTTTAGACCGATGTGTACTGCGGAGACGGTATCTTCCAAACCACCGGTCCGAATTGAGTAACTCCAAGTGTTCCGGAAAGGTATTTCACGGACCTCAAACTTTGATGAAGACTGGGCAGGCTGGTTCGGACCGGAACGGCTCTGTCCCTCGAGATCTTTGAAGTCCGCTGTTCGGTTCTTGGGTGCGCGCAATACTGGTGCGTCCTCCGGAAGCCATATCTTTCTCCTCACTGGTCCGAATTGGATGATTCTAACTGTTCTGGGATTTTTGCTCGATTATCTCCAACTTTGATGCAGACCCCGCCAACTGATTCGGACTGGAAGGTTCCCCGAATTGCCAATCTTTGAAACGCGCGGGTAAGGATAAGTTTTAACCGAGAATTGCTTCCCGCGGTAAGGAAAATGTCCGAGGGCTGTATACCGCGGTAAGCTTTTTAGCCGTAAAATCCTTCTCGCCTCGGCGTAAAAGTTTACCCGAGGGAATTTTCACCAGATACTCGATTTTAGCCGATATTGGCCGTTCGGTAAAGATTTTGACCGAGGTTCCAGTCCAGCCGGTACGAGTTTTGGCCGAGAAATTCCTCCAAGCGGTTTTCACCATTTTTGACCCTTTTCTTCACCGTTTTCTTTCCTGCTCCTCTTCTTGAGCTCCAAATGGCCTCCAAAGCACCTGATAAAGACTTCAAAACATGCAAAACTCTTTGGGACTTAATGCAAGCCCTAAATCCTATTTTGATGCCTAAAGACTCAATTTACATGGGAAAACACATGATGAGGACTCTAAAATGCAACTTAAATGATGCAAAATATAGACATATCAAATCCCCCACACTTGTCCTTTGCTTGTCCTCAAGCAAAAAGAACAAATGAGAGAGAGAGGTTGAAATGCAATGGGAGCTCATATTTCCTTTTTAGAGAGAAGTGATCACAATGAGAACTCAAGTGATATGTCTATATTTTACATCATTTAGATTGCATTATAGAGTCCTCATCATGTGTTTTCTCATGTAAATTGAGTCTTTAGGCGTTAAAATAGGACTTAGGGCTTGCATTAGGTCCCAAAGAGTTTTGCATGTTTTGAAGTCTTTATCAGGAGCTTTGGAGACCAATTGGAGCCTAAGAAGAGGAACAGAAAAGAAAACGGTGAAGAAAAGGGTCAAAAATGGTGAAAACCGCTTGGAGGAATTTCTCGGCCAAATCTCGTACCGGCTGGTCGGAAACCTCGGCCAAAATGTTTACCAGACGCTCATTACCGGCCAAAAACCTTACCGATCGGCCAGAATCGAGTATCGAGTGCAAAAATACCACGGGACAAGTTTTTGACCGAGGCAAGAATTTTTACGACCAAAAAGCTTACCGCGGTACACAGCCCTCGGCCATTTTTCTTACCGCGGGAAGGTTTTTACGACCAAAAGTTGTCCTTGCCCGCGCAATTCAGAGATCAGCAATCCGGGGAACCTTCCGGTCCGAATCAGTTGGCGGGGTCTTCACCAAAGTTGGAGATAATCAAGCAAAGATTCCATAACAGTTGGAATCATCCAATTCGGACCAGTGGAGAGAAAGATATGGCTTCTGGAGCATTCACCAGCATTGCGCGTACCCGAGAACTGAACGGCGAACTTCAAAGATCATGGCGGACGGAGCCCCTCCAGACCGAACCAGCTTACCCGGTCTTTACCAAAGTTCGAGATCCATGGAAGATCTTCTCATAGCATTTAGAATCGCTCAATTCGGAGCAAAGGTTTGGAAGATAGGGTCTCCGGAGTTCACATCGGTCTAAAAGTCTATTTTCCGGTGATTTCAATGCGGCGCAAAGATGTTAAATCCAGGAAGCCTTCCACTCCCCAAGCTCCGATGGTTTCTTCACCAAAGTTCGAGCTTATTGAGTCATCTTGACTGTGGAACTGGTCCCAGAGCAATTGGAGTCGTGTGCTGAAAGTTACTGCTTCCGGAATGTGACATGGTCGATACAAGCCTAAAAGAGTTGCGATACGCGCTAAGTATTTTCAGAAGCCTCGGTATCTTTACCTTGGCGTCACTCAAGTCGAGGCTCATATCTTGGAAGTATTCTGGACTAGACCTCGTGCCAAATCCTTGGCATGGTTAGATCGAGGCATGCATACGTAAGAACTGAAGCTGGAAACGACTAAGTGTTGAAAGTACACCTCGGTGTAATGACCTCGGCGTGCATGCCGGACTGTGTTCTCTCAAGCACCTCGACATCATGACCCCTCGACATTTTATCCCGAGGTCCCTTGTCACGAACCCAGAATCAAGAACAGAATGGCTCAAGAACATACACGTGAGGATAGATCAAAGACTAGGGTTCATGCATGTTCTTGACGTGTTCTTCACGAGATCTTCATCTGGATCCTGACTCACGTGCATGCCTCGGCATGAAGACCTCGGCTTCACTTTCCGACACACCGTGGCACTCACCCATCAACCCAAGAAGGCGGTTCAGTACCCGGTTTGTTCCATGCTGACCCGCGACACTTTCCCTTTGCTATAAATACATTTTGAGACTAAAAACCTAGTTATCTTATATCTTATCTGTTTTTAGCTCTAAGAACTTGCCTCTTTTGTGAAACTTGATTAATCTAATCCGATATCTCGTTTTTGCATCAGAATCTTGTTCTTTCTTTATTTCTTTTATCATCCAACATCAAACTCCTTATCATGACTAGCTACACGTCTTGCAAAGGACTTAGTGAGCTCGTTATGATCAGTGAGTAGTCATTTAAGCGACTTTAGATAGGTAGATTAGGGTGCTTTCAAGGTGGATTAATGGGTTTAGGTGTCTAGTCTTGCATGTTTCATTCCTTAACCGACGAGATCTCTAAGCTGGATCCAAGCACATCACTTGAGGTTCAGATCTGAGACATATCTCGCATCAGAAGTGTTTGTAGAAATTTTTGAACCACTCGGTTAAGGGTTTAAGAGTCTTTCATCGCGAGAGTGATAGTTTGTTCTCTTAAATGACGTTTTTGAACCGATTCTTATTGCTGACTGATTCGTGCTTCTCAAAAGGGATTTTGGTATGAAAGAGGATCAGTTTAGACATTTAATACTTTCATGAGAAGATTAACGTGCCTTGAGTTCAAAGTCAAATGAAATCGCTTGATAAAATGATTCATTAGCCCCTTAGTCTAACTTGGAAGCACCCGAGTCAAATATCCTGTCTAAAGCTTCTGCCTTTATCATTCATTACCATCATCTGAATCACCTGTTTGTTATTTGCATCTTGATTAGTTTAAATCTCTGCTTTTATTTAACTTTATTGCTCATTTGTCTGTTAATCATCGTCACCAAACTTTTATCATCTTGTCTTGACTTAAGTGAACAAATGACATAGGCTAGTGTCTTGTTTACAAGCTTGGTTTGACACCCCTTATACTACTTTGACAAGGGGATTGATAACCCTTCTAAGAGCCTGAAAACTCTTAGTTATCAATTGGCGCCGTTGCCAACTTGTAGGAGCATTAGTCTCTTGTTTGTTCTTGAGTTCAAGCTTTTCTTTCCTTTGTTTTACTAACTTCTTTCCAAGTTCTTGTTTTGTTTTCAGGTGCATGAATACCAGGTCTCAGAGCACAGGATCGCTTTTCCCATACGACGATAACATCGACAGATTAGAAAGGCAAGCTCGCGAGAGAGAACGACACTTTGACAGACTTGGAATGGCAGAACAACAGAGAATGGAGCAACAGGCTCAGGCAGCCGAGCACCAGGCTCAGGCTAATCAGGCGCAGGCAGGAAGAAATGAACAACAAGCCTATGTTAATCAGCAACAGGCTCAAAGAAACGAACGGCTTGCTCAGCAAAACCAACACCAAGCGAATAGAAATGAACAACAAGCCCATCATGTTCATCCGCCACCGCCCCAAGTTCAGAGACAACATCCTCCAATCTGTGTTGGAGAGAATGACCGAACTAATGCGCACCAATACCGAGCTGGGATTCAAGCTCCACCAGTTCAAAACAACAACTTTGAAGTTAAAGCTTCCCTGCTCAATATGGTGCAAAACTCAAAGTTCCACGGTCTGGCTGGAGAAGACCCTCTCGAGCATCTAGATCAATTTGATCGGGTTTGCGACTTAACCAAGATAAATGGCGTCTCCGAAGATAGCTTCAAGCTACGCTTGTTCCCTTTCAGCCTCGGTGATAAAGCACACCAGTGGGAAAAGAATATACCGAGGGGTTCTATACAAACCTGGGAGCAGTGTAAACTGGCGTTCTTATCAAAGTTCTTTTCCACATCACGCACGGCTAAGCTCAGGAATCAGATCTCAAGTTTCACGCAGCACAATAACGAGAGCTTTAGTGAAGCTTGGGAACGGTTTAGAAGCTACACTAACCAATGCCCACACAACGGCTTCTCAGAGGCATCCCTCTTGAGTACTTTATACCGAGGTGCACTCCCCAAGATCAGAAACCAACTCGATACAGCTTCAAATGGCAATTTTCTTGGAAAAGAGATCACTGCGGCAATGGAACTAGTTGAGAACCTAGCCATGTCCAATGACACGTATGGAGAGGACTTTGATAGAGCAAACCGTACAGAGGGATCTAGTGATGACAGCGCATGAAAAAGGATATAAGAGAGCTTCAGAGTAAGCTTGACAAGGTTTTGATGGCGACTCAAAAGCCAATACACTTTGTAGGCGAGTTTGATGAGCAAGGGCCAAGTTTTGACAATGTTAATGAAGATGGTCTAACACAAGAGGAGCTGAATTACATAGGGTATCAGCCGAGGTATCAGCGGTTTAACAACTACAACAGTAACCCAAACCTCTCATACAGAAACCCGAATGTAGCTAACCCTCAAGACCAAGTGTACCCTGCTCAACAACAACAACAAGGTTATGCTCAAAAGGCTCCTTTTCAGAATACCTTCCAGCCCAAGCAACAGTTCAGTGGGCAACAGCACGGCTACACTCAGCAGAATCAAGCGGCTCAGAGTAACAACTTCAACAACCAACCGCAGCAACACAAGTTTCCACCAGGGTTCCATCCGCAGCCGATGGGTAATCAACAACAGATTCAGGGAACGGGTCAGAATCAAATGGGGAACGACGTCTGTGGGATACTACAGCAACTGTTACAGGGCCAGCAAAGGGTTGAGAGCCAGCACGCGACAATGCAGCAAGATATCAGAGAGCTTAAGCAGAATCAAGCTTCTACATCATCAAGAGGCCCGGCTTTACCAGGTAAACCGGAGCCGAACCCTAAAGAGTATGTGAACGCCATCACATTGAGGAGTGGTAAGGAATTACAAACTCCAATGCCTAAGACAAAGCTCATTGAGGCCAATGAGCAATTAGAGGGGGAGGCAGCCTCAGACGATGCGTGTAAAGAAGCGGTCTTAGAGAAGGAACAGATCAAGGACAAAGGAAAAGAGGTGGAAAAGACAACCGAGCTTGAAAAGCCCTATGTTCCACCACCACCTTATCAACCCAAGATACCGTTCCCAGGGCGTTTCAAAAAGAAAATCCTAGACAAGGCCAAGGCGGTCTTTGAGTAACACTTGGAGAACACGCAACTCACCTTACCCATTATAGATGCTTTCTTAGTTATACCCCAGCTTGGGAAGTTTCTAAAGGACGCGATCCTCAACAAGTCAAAGGAGCTCCAGGGTATGGTGATACTGAGCCATGAGTGCAGTGCCATAATACAAAGAAGATCTATACCAAGGAAGCTATCCGATCCGGGCAGCTTCACTTTGCCGTGTGCTTTAGGTCACCTGAAGTTCTCAAACTGTTTATGTGACCTTGGAGCTTCTGTGAGCTTAATGCCTTACACGGTGGCCAAGAGATTGGGATACAAAAGCTACAAGCCAGCCAAGATCTCTCTTGTATTAGCTGATGGATCGGTTAGATTACCGGTGGGGTTGCTTGAGGATCTACCTTTGAGGATCGGTGAGATAGAAATCCCCACGGACTTCATAGTTCTTGAGATGGACGAGGAACCATTAGACCCTATCATCTTGGGCCGAACGTTCTTAGCAACCGCAGGAGCCATAATAGATGTGAGAGGAGGAATGATTGAACTACACATCGGTTCCGAGACTATGAAGTTCAACGTGAAGGAAATGATGAAGAAACCGACCATTGGAGGTCAGGTTTTCTATGTGGAGGTAATGGAGGAGCTGGCTGATGAGCTCCTTGAAGACTTGAACGCAGAGGATCCGTTACAAGTGGTCTTAACGCGGGAACAAAGCAAGCACGGGTACTTGAACGAGGAAAGCGAGGTGTACAAGCGTCTTTTGGACCAACCGAGGGAACTTGGAGCTGAGGCGAGGTTTTTGGAGCTCCACACGAGCAGCCTCAACATTTTAGAAAGCGAGGAGTCAAAGGGAAAAGAAGAGACACCTCGGGAGATCATGGCCGTGACAACTCATACCGAGGCCGATGGTAAACCGCGCGAGAATGAAGCAAAGGCCGAGGAAGCTGTTCCGGGCCAATGCAGCTTTGATGCCGATTGGAATGAGGCAGACGCACCCCCTGTTGAGCTCAAGCCTCTACCAACAGGGCTCAGGTATGCATTCTTAGGTCTAAACTCTATTTTTCCTGTGATCATAAACGATAACTTGCTTGAGCATGAGGAACGTGCATTACTTAGTGAAATAAGGAAATTCACGAGAGCCATAGGGTATTCCTTGGCTGACATTAGAGGAATCTTTCCTGATATATGCATCCACAGGATCCAACTAGAGGACCAAGCCATGTCCTCTATTGAGCACCAACGTCGACTTAACCCGAACCTCAAAGAGGTGGTTAAGAAGGAGATACTAAAGCTCCTTGAGGCAGGGATAATATATCCAATCTCTGACTCTCGGTGGGTATCTCCTGTACACGTTGTGCCCAAGAAAGGTGGGATCACGGTGGTGAAAAACGATAAGGATGAACTCATAGCCCAAAGAACTATAACCGGCCATCGCATGTGCATTGACTATAGGAAATTGAATTCTGCATCAAGAAAAGATCATTTTCCTTTACCATTCATTGATCAAATGCTTGAACGGTTAGCTAATCATCCTTATTTTTGTTTTCTCGATGGATACTCGGGGTTCTTTCAAATACCTATAGACCCCCGAGATCAAGAGAAAACGACATTCACCTGCCCTTATGGCACTTATGCTTATAGAAGAATGCCATTCGGTTTGTGTAATGCACCGGCCACTTTTCAAAGATGTATGATGCACATTTTCTCTGATCTAATTGAAGAGAAAGTTGAGGTGTTTATGGATGACTTCTCCGGATACGGCTCCTCTTTCTCCGAATGTCTTGCTAATCTTTCTCAGGTTCTCAAGCGGTGTGAGGAGCATAGGCTTGTCTTAAACTGGGAAAAGTGTCATTTCATGGTCCAAGAAGGCATTGTCTTGGGACACAAGGTATCAGAGAAAGGCATCGAGGTGGATAAGGCCAACATCGAGGTGATGGTGAACTTACAAGCCCCGAATTCTGTGAAAGGAATAAGAAGCTTCCTTGGCCACGCTGGGTTCTATAGACGGTTCATCAAGGATTTCTCCAAGATAGCCAGGCCTTTGACCAGGTTATTGTGCAAAGAAGTGGATTTCAACTTTGATGAAGAATGTGAGGAAGCGTTCAAGAGAATCAAGGAGGCTTTGATCAGTGCACCGATTGTACAAGCCCCTGATTGGTCTTTACCATTTGAAGTGATGACCGATGCATCTGATTATGCTGTAGGAGCTGTCTTGGGACAGAAGAAAGATAAGAAGCTCCATGTGATCTACTATGCCAGCCGCACTTTGGACTCGGCTCAAGAAAAGTATGCCACCACCGAGAAGGAAATGCTTGCCATTGTGTTTGCATTTGACAAATTCAGGAGTTATCTAGTGGGATCAAAGGTCACGGTTTACACAGATCACGCGGCCTTGAGGTACCTGATGTTTAAGAAGGACGCTAAGCCGAGGCTTTTGAGATGGGTCTTATTGCTCCAAGAATTTGACATGGAGATACTTGATAAGAAGGGCATTGAAAACGGAGCCGCAGATCACCTCTCAAGGCTGAGGATTGAAGAACCGGTCCCTATAGATGATGCTTTACCCGAGGAACATCTCATGTTAGTCCGGTCTTACTTAGAGGTGGAGGAATCCAATACGATCAAGGAAAGAAGCCTTCCATGGTTCGCGGATCTTGTGAACTACTTATCAGAGGAAGAAGTTCTTTAGAGATGTGATGAGGTATCATTGGGATGAGCCGTATCTTTACGTGCTTAACAAGGACCATCTCTATAGGCGATGCTTGGCCGAAGAAGAGATCCATCCAGTGCTACAAGAATGCCACGGCTCATCGTATGGTGGTCATTTAGGTGCGTTTAAGACAGTTGCCAAGGTTCTACAGAGCGGGTTCTGGTGGCCGACCATGTTCAAAGACGCCCAGGAAGTGGTCTCGAGGTGTGAAGCTTGTCAAAGGCACGGAAACATATCCAAAAGGAATGAAATGCCCCAAAACCCAATCTTTGAAGTAGAAGTCTTCGACTGTTGGGGCATTGACTTCATGGGTCCCTTTGTAAGCTCATATGGGAATCAATATATCCTTGTAGCAGTGGATTATGTGAGTAAATGGGTTGAAGCGGTTGCATCTCCGACCAACGATTCAAAAGTGGTGGTAAAACTCTTCAAGAGTATCATCTTCCCACGGTTTGGAGTACCAAGAGTAGTCATCAGTGATGGGGGAAGCCATTTCATCAACAAGACTCTTGAGAGTCTTTTGAAGAAGCATGGAGTAAAGCACAAGGTGGCCACCCCTTATCATCCGCAAACCAGCGGCCAAGTGGAGGTTTCCAACCGTCAGATAAAGGCCATTTTGGAAAGGACCGTGAACTCATCCAGGAAGGATTGGAGCAAGAAACTTGACGATGCTCTATGGGCTTACAGAACCGCCTACAAAACCCCCATTGGAACCTCACCGTTTAACTTGCTCTATGGGAAGAACTGTCATCTACCGGTTGAGTTGGAATACAAAGCCTTGTGAGCAGTGAAACTTCTGAACTTTGACATCAAGACCGCACAAGAGAAGAGGGTTTTACAGCTTCATGAGCTTGAGGAGATCCGGTTAGATGCTTTCGAGAGCTCTAAGATCTACAAAGAAAGAACCAAGGCGCTCCATGACAAGAAGATACACAAGAGAGAGTTCAAAGAAGGGGACCAAGTTCTGTTGTTTAACTCAAGACTCAAGCTGTTCCCTGGGAAGCTGAGGTCTAGGTGGTCCGGTCCGTTCACGATTCTTGAAGTAAGACCCTATGGAGCCGTGGTTTTGAAAGGAAAAGATGGACAAGGCTTTGTGGTAAACGGCCAGAGGGTAAAGCATTACTTGGCATCAGAAATAAGGGAGGGAGCTACCTCAGTTCCTC